TACTTTTAATCTGTATCTTTAAAACACATATTAAATAAACCCTCATGTAAAAAGCAATAAAAAAATCAGTTGATCTTAACTTTGTCAAAGCCTTTGCGTCTACTTTTACTTGTTGGAAGAATGTTTGGGACCACCAAGTCCTGTTGTTGTAATTTTATTTAGATTATTTTCTCCAACTCATAAGTTCTTTTTAAAGAATTGATAAATTAAAGCACAGAAGATTATCTGAGGATGGAGTGTCAAATGATTGATAAAAAATGAAATATAGAAAGGTATGGTTAAGTTCATTAAGAAATTGGCATTTGGGTTAGGTGGTCATACATGTGTTCAAGCTTTGTTGATTAAGATTGGATTTTTGATGGAACTTATGAGAAAAGCAATCTTGGTTTGAGGAAAGAATGCATGTTTTGCAGTTAAGTGGATGTGGAATGGTTTTTTTAAATTTATATTGTAAAATAAAAATTATTAAATGAAAAAATATTAATATTAAAAGTTTATTTTTTTATTTAATGATTTAAATTATACAATTTAAATTACATAATCTTTTATTAAAAAGTTAATGCCATATAAATATTAAAGTTTGGTGTTTTACAATTTATATTAAATAAATTACAAACACATCAACTCTATGATTATTAAGGTTTACCACCAACCTCACAAAAATTCCGCTAACCATAGGACTAAGATGTTTTTAGTCCGTTACACTTTTTTTTTTCTTTTGTAAATATCTTAACTTGACTAAATTTTTATGGTCAAACCAACTCTTCTATGGTTAATGTAAGAATGTTAGGCGTTGGCGACCAAAAATTTGTTTACACTTTACACGACCCAATTAGAATGGTAAAAGTAAGGTAAAAAATTAAGGTTAAATGTAAATTTTAAATCCCTAAATTTTACATTTTAAATACTTTTAGTTTCTAAACTTTTTTTCTCTTTTTTTTTTTTTTTGTCCCTTAACTCCAGAATTTTTTTTTTTGTCATATATTCCACTAAATAAATGATGATGATGCTGTTAACTCTTTAAAATTTATTTTTCTTTTATTATTTTATTACATTTTCATTATAAATGTGTCCCTTGCTTAGTTGGACAAAATATATAGTATTCATGTTGGTAATTTAATTTAAATAAATGAAATAATAAATTAAAAAAAAAAACTAAAAACTATCCATCAATTAAATTTCTTTATAATATAAAATATTAAAATTTACAAAACAACAAAAATATCCCCAAATTCTTCTTCTTCATCCTCAGACTTCTTCTCTATTAGAAATATTTTTGGATGTCATGATTTCACATAAACTCATTTAATGATAGTCATTGTCATATCATCAAAAAAGTATCCTTTTGAATTGAGTTAACAATCATATCATCACTTAGTTGATAGAATGACCACAAAAAAAAAAAAAACAATTTATAGGGTTAAGGGACTTAATAAGTACTAAAAATAGTTTAAAACCCAAAAGTGTTTAAAATATAAAGTTCAAAGACTTAAAAATTAAGATTTAACCAAAAATTAATGATTTTTTGAAGTCATGTCTTATGTTCAGGGTAATGCTCATGTCTTATGTTCAGGGTAAGGATCTTAATTGTGAATAAATGACCATCATGCTTTTGAATATTGCCAAAAGAACAAAGCTTTTCTTTTCAAGTAAGGTCTGCCAACCCTTCCCGTTTCCTCCCGGCTCTTAAAAGTAAACATTAGATAGATCACACTCAACGTATTTGGGAAACAGCTGGGGAAGAATGTCATCTACAAGGTGATCAAAATATAATGGTAAAGCAATATTGTCAAAAGGCAGACAATTATAAATAAAAGTATATCAAGTATCTTTGTCCTCTTAATAGGCTCCTTTAACGTGCAAGTTCAATGCATCTGATCCTTTGGTTCTAATGACATTAGTCACGTTGAATAAGTACATCCTCTCTTTTTTTTGGGTGGGTTTGATTTTATTTCATGTTAAATTGTTCAAAAATAAATAAATAAATGTGCAAGTTCAATAATTTAGAATCTATCACTTAAGTTTTATTGCATTACTTTTTTTGTATAATTTTATATATAATTTAAATAATTAATTTTTTTATTAATTCAAAATTCATAATATTAAGTGTATTTATCTATTTAATAATATATAAAAATTTTATAAAAAAATTATGCAAAAAATTATGTCTACATTACTACCTTCAAATTAATTAGTAATAGATAGAGAGTATAACCAACCACTTGTTGAACTGAGTAGAAGGAACTCGATTTTCTTTAAAAAAGGTCGTAAGTTTGAATTTTGTAAATGAAAAAATGTTGGAAGAGCTTCTTCTCTAATGGGATTCGATGCGACTCGATTTC